TGGTATTTCTATCCTTTTAGTCTCAAATGTCAGTCCTTGAATAGTGGATACCAGTGTATTACTGGTTAAAGCTTCTTTCCCAAAATGGAACTATATTATGATGCTTATAAGGTCAGTAGCTAATGAGATTTTTCCCATTGATTATACTTGACCCAAGAATAGATGTTCAAAAATATAGTATTAATATTTGAAAATAGAGTTTTGGAAATTAGTAGAATTATGTCTTGATTTTGACATCCTCAGCAGTGTTTATACAAACTTGTTTTTTTTCCTGGTACTGTACAACTTAATCTATTTATTGAGCTGACTCCGTAAGATCTCAACATATTGTAACATGTTACTATTTTTATTATTTTTATTTTTGTATTTAAATTTATGTACAGATCCTTAAGGGTCTATGTTCATGTATGTGGACATGGTATCCTCCAATGAGACAGCCCTCTCACAGGCATGGGTCATGGATATTACACCCTGCCTTCATGGATCAGTGATAATTATGCTGCTCATGGACAAACCTCTTCCTGAAGGCTAGCTGAGTCAATCTTCCTCCAAGTGGTTTGTACACTCTTGACAAGATGTCTCCATCATACTCCATTGCAACAATTTCCCATGGTGAGACCATTCCTATGATTCACCCCTTGGCCAATTTTTTTATATGTTGGTATCCCCATCACCTGAAACCAACTGGTGAGTAGTTGTAAAATAATTTTGTCTCATCCTCTCTTTTTTATGCATCAATATATAGTGAAACTTTCATAAGCTAAAATTTTCTCTTCCTAGGGCTCTGGTTCTGCTTGGGCCCAATAAAAATGGTTAATAGTTCATGGTTAGAAGAAATAAATGAGCTAGACATCAAAGTTCATACAGCACAATGGTAAAGTCAAAGTTGGTCCCATGTCCATGTGAACGTAGGGGACATGTTCGCAGAGAAACATGCTTACTAAGCCGCGGGATGATGTGGTAGGATGGCCAGTTCCTTTCCACCCCGACCCCATCATGCTGACATCAGCACATCAGTACTCATTCACAGCTGAGTCGACTGAGAGGGGCGGCGGCCAGGCGCGAACCCAGGACCTTGCGATTGTAAAGCCAGCACTCTACCACTGAGCTATGCCACCCTCCATATGGTAAAGTATTGTGGCAAAAAGGGGGGAAATTATTTAATGATCAGGATAAGATGTGTTAGATGTCAGAGGTTGTAGGATAGAATGGTAGTGAAGTACAGTGGAGATTTGTAAAGGGGGATGGGGTTAAAGGTATATGGCAACAAGATCAAATGGAGAGTATGTGTCTGAGGCAGTGGAGTTGCACTGTATGAGGAAAACTGCAAGAGAGCTATTATGAAACAAAGGGTAATACAGTAAGAAATGATAGCTGTAGAAGTAGGAGAAGAATCCAGAGAATGAAATGAGGAAACGGGAAGATGGTGAAGTATTGGGAAGAAGACATTGTGAGTCACATGAAAATTTAGGTGGGAGTGGTAAAGATAATGGGAAAGAAAGAGGGAATGGTGATGCACATGGAGTAGGAGAGGATAGGGCATTTTGTAAATGTAGAGCAGATAAGAATAAAGGGATTAGTATCAGTAGTTGGAGCTGTTGTCAAAGGAGAAGCAGGAGTTGGATACCATGAAGGAGCAAGTTGATGAAGGGGTAAGCTTTAATGACCCTGATGAGGATAAAAAATCATTATTGGCCATAGTGAGCCTGAAATAAATGGAGAGAAGAAACAGTCTACCCCTCAGGGTACCCTTGAGGGGTAGGGGCTAGGTGATTAACCAAGGGGATACCATGGCTCATGGCTCCTGGAGGCCATTCAGGTCTGACACAAACCAGTCTGTCATCCTTTCAGCACAGCTCTCACACCTTAGGAAGTGGGCAGAGGAAGGGGATGATGAAGAAGAGAAGGAAAAGAAAAGGGGGAGAAGAAAGAAAAGACCCATGCAACATTAGTTGAGGTAAAAGCTGAGGTACAAGGTACCCCTGCCTTACATTGGGCCCTAGTCTCCGTCTCCTAAGATCCCCCACAACAACAACGAGGAAGGGAGTGGGGTGGGGCAATAAGTATGTTCTTTAGTGTTTATCATTAGAGTTTTTTCTATGTACACTTTTGAAAATATTGATGGGTTGTTAATACTAAGCAAATCACAATTACAGCATGTAAATTCAAGACCTTTCAATAATATTCATTGTGTCACTCTCAGGGAAGAGGCCGTTATCTATCATTTGTTCTTGAACTTGGCTTCATTATTGGTGGCTTTATTTTTCCATGTCTATTAAATGCTAGTTTGAGGGGTTTTCTGTATTTAAGCACCTACTTTCCCAAGAATTAATTGATTTTTATTTTTTTTCTTGAGAACAAAAATGTAGTGTGCTGATTTCTTTCACAAAATCATTGCATACTTCCTCTGGTAGAATAGAAAATGTGATTTTTTTTAATGCACAGAACATATGACAAAAAATATGAATATTTTTAGATATTTTTCTATAAACTCACACTGAAATTTTTACTTGTCTTTTTTATAGCAATTAATGTTTAGCATGACATTGATCCCATACTGCAAGATGTTGAAATACTTGAGAAATCATTAATTCAATGAGGCACTAAGGATACATTAAAGCCCCCCAGAAGAAGTTGTATTTATTGCCATATTGCATTTTTTAAATTCAAGGTGAGTAAGTACCAGGAAGAAAATAACTACTCCTTAGAAAATCCAGGTCTTTGGGGGCAGTGTAGTCACTTCCAAAACAGAGGGAATCTGATTACTAGCTTCAGGGTTTGTTCTCAAATACAGCTGATACTACTTTGGCCACCTGATTCTTAAATGTCTAAGTAGAGAAAAATAACACATTGAATTATATGCTAATATTTAGGTATTCATCATATTAAACATATTGTTATTGGTTCATTTATTTACAGATTACTCTACAGTAACAAAAACAGTTTTACATTCTTCTTTTTTAGTGTTCTTTGACATAGAATTTTATACATTATGATGCCGTTGCTTGCTGGCTTGGGAGAGGCTTGTCCAAGCTAGGAATGCTTGGGAAACGTCCAGAATTCTGAAATGAAAAATAGAAATTTTAATCGTGTTATAATAATGGTTAATGATTAAAAACAAATATATGTGCTAGACATAAAATTTCATACTGCACTACAGAAGGCATAGTAGTGAAAAGGGTAAAGAGGGGGTTCTTAAGGACTTCAAAAGGAATGTCAAGAGGGGGAAGAGGAGGATCCAGGGAAGGCCACTATGACAAAAGGGAGTCAAGGGTGTCTCCAGGAGGAAGGGGTGTAGGGGAAAACATGAGAAGGAAGGAAGGAAGGAAGCAAGGAAGCAAGGAAGCAAGGAAGGAAGGAAGGAAGGAAGGAAGGAAGGAAGGAAGGAAGGAAGGAAGCAAGGAAGCAAGGAAGCAAGGAAGCAAGGAAGCAAGGAAGCAAGGAAGCAAGGAAGGAAGGAAGCAAGGAAGCAAGGAAGCAAGGAAGCAATTTACTTTGAGTGTAAAGGAAATATGAGATTTAGAGGTGGTTGAGGGATAGGCATGTCGAGTCATGATTTGAAAGTTCTGAATGTCCTTAAGAGTTTCTGAAAAGAAGTGTGTAGAGGAGGTCTGAGAAATGAAGGACATCTGAGGAGCTGAGGGAGAGGTAGGTGTAGGAGGAGATGGAGTGGAACGTTCAGATTATTTGGTGCGACAGGTAGGAAAGGAAGGAGCAGAGGTAGGCACTGAGGAAGTGGTAGAGATTGGAGTATTTAGATTCAGACTGGAAAAGGAATTTGACCGGGGGAGTAGATAGAATGATTTGGGGTAGAGGGAAGAGATACTGGGGGAGATGCTGAGACTTCTTGAGAAGATGGGAGGAGAGCAGAGTGAAGTACAGTTTTGGAATAAGTAGAAAGAGATAAACCTTGTCAGGGTGCTTCTTGTCTGGCCTTTTGTAGAGTGAGACCTTGTTTGAATCTAAAAACTGCTACCTCAGATTTGAGGTTGTAGGTAGGGTAGCTCCTATAAAATACATTAGAATAGAAAATGTGATTTTTTAAAAATGCACAGAACATGACAAAAAATATGAATATTTTTAGATATTTTTGTATAAACTCACACTGAAACTTTTAGTTGTCTTTTTTATAGCAATTAATGGTTATCATGACATTGATACTGCAAGATGTTGAAGTACTTGAGAAATCTCTAATTCAATGAGGAACTAATGATACATTAAAGCCCCTCAGAGGAAGTTGTATTTATTGTCATATTACATTTTTTAAATTCAAGGTGAGTAAGTACCAGGAAGAAAATAATTACTCTTTAGAAAATCCAGGTCTTTGGGGGCAGTGTAGTCACTTCCAAAACTGAGGGAATCTGATTACTAGCTTCAGGGTTTGTTCTCAAGGACAGCTTATACTACCTTGGCCACCTGATTCTTAAATGTCTAAGTAGAGAAAAATAACACATTGAATTTGAATTATATGCTAATATTTAGGTATTCATCATATTAAACACATTGTTATTGGTTCATTTATTTACAGATTACTCTACAGTAACAAAAACAGTTTTACATTCTTCTTTTTTAGTGTTCTTTGACATAGAATTTTATACATTATGATGCCGTTGCTTGCTGGGTTGGGAGAGGCTTGTCCAAGCTAGGAATGCTTGGGAAACGTCCAGAATTCTGAAATGAAAAATATAAATTTTAATTGTGTTATAATAATGGTTAATGATTAAAAACAAATAAATGTGCTAGACATAAAATTTCATACTGCACTACAGAAAGCATAGTAGTGAAAAGGGTAAAGAGGGGGTTCTTAAGGACTTCATGATTAGATGTGCAACACATCAAAAGGAATGTCAAAAGGGGGAAGGGGAGGATCCAGGGAAGGCCACTATGACAAAAGGGAGTCAAGTGTGTCTCCAGGAGGAAGGGGTGTAGGGGAAAACATGAGAAGGAAGGAAGGAAGGAAGGAAGGAAGGAAGGATGGAGGCAATTTACTTTGAGTGTAA